GGGACAATCTAAAATGTAATTGGATTCCCGATATCCTGCTTTTATCCCCATGACCATCAGAAAATGCTGACACACTTTACCTTAAAGTTTGAGATGTGCTCATGTGTTTTGAAATAAACAAACGATGACCAATGACTAATAGAGTAAAATAATATTATATATAGGCAAAAACCACTAATTAGTCTATTAAAAGTGGAGAAGAAACCTGGAAAAAGCACCAATCATCTACTAGGTGTTTCATCTTAAACTGAACCTAAAATGTTATGTATAGTGTTATTAATGCAGTTTCAGTTTACTATCTTAATATGTCATTTCAGAATGTGCCATTATAATGTGTACTTGTTGATGAGAGGCGGACATGACAGCATTTAGTGCAGACAGGAAGTCAAGCAGCCCTGTTGCATTATATCACACACACACACAGACATCCAGTGTTTGTGTGTGTATGTGTGTGTGTGTGTGTGTGTGTGTGTGTGTGTGTGTGTGTGTGTGTGTGTGTGTGTGTGTGTGTGTGTGTGTGTGTGTGTGTGTGCGTGCGTGTCATTTGGCTGCCAGTAATTCCTGCTGAGTGCTGGGCTCCGCGCCGAGCTGCTCTATTAGGACAGATAATTGTGGCTGAACGTCACATTTGTTATGTTTTTCCCTTTTTGTTCCATTACAGAAGAAACCATAAAGAATGGGAGTAATTAAAATAATGGCACTGGGCTTGATAAATGAGAATTGATAGTGATGTGGAATTTTTATTATTAGGCAGAAGAAAACGTTTATCTTATAATCTTTTTATGATTATTATTGTATAGGTTTTTATTCTGCGTACTATTATATCAGAATGAGCATTTGAATGGTGCATGAATCAAAATACAAGGACTTGTAGTTGCTCTTAATATAACTGACACACACAACTTTACAGGAATAACATTTTTTGACACACAGCTAAAAAAGGACGCAAAATATGAACAATGCATAAGTACATAGAAGTACGGGGAAAGAATATATCAAACGTAAAAAAATGTAAGATTGTAAAAAAGATCTGAAAAATAGAAATAAAAATAAGAAAACAATTAAATTAAATCAATGTATTATAAAAAATGTACAAATACTTGTATAAATATTGAATAAGTAATGTATGATTACTCTAGATCTTGAAAAAAAATGGAAATGGAAAAATCTATATACATCCGATATTAAATTTTCCGTGGAAAGGTGTGGAGATTTGCCAATTTAATGTCCAGTTCTGCATGTCAGGTGTAACGACTTTCTTTATTATAGCTTGGTGTGATTTTCTGAAGATCGCGAAACAAATGAATTTAAGAAAATTGCATTTTAAATGGCCGGCCTCTCTCACACATCTCTCTTCAATTCTTAGCTCCCCCCTTCCCCTTATATTTCCCATACATATTCCTTTACATACCTCCCACATTCACACTCCCCCTCCCCCACTCCCTATATGTTCTGTACAGTGTGTTGTTGTGTTAAACAGTATGTGTTCTGTTCCTGTTCACTATATAAAGACATGGAGAAAAACAAAGCATGTGTTACAACAGGAAGTGTGAAGATTTAAGGCATTTCCCATCTGAAAGCCAAGAACGATGAAAGCACACAATAATGAAAAACAAAATCAAATCAACAACAACCTTGATCGTTAAATTTGAATATCATTTTGTACAAATAATTGAAGAAATGAAGTTGTCTTCTAGGGAATCGTGACGGGCATTTTTCACGGTTTTGTATACACTACTAAACAATGAATTGATTATCAAAAAAACAATCAACAGATTAACAGATCATTGAATACATTCTTAGTGAAAGGTGGATTTTAGCAATATTGAGTCTGCACATCAGGACAAATAAGCTACAATATTCCCACTTCTTTTTCATTTATTAAATATTTGAATCCTGCTCCAAAGCTTTATTAAAGTGCGATTCTGAGTCATCGGAGATACCCTTAAAAAGGTAATCCTACCAATGTTGTATGAAGAGTTGAGTTTAATAGTCATTTGTAGAACAACTCTGCCTTGATACCCCTTAATAGTGATTATAATGAGGTTTAACCCTCCTATTGTCTTCGTGTTCCCCCCTTACTTTGGTGTTCACGGTCAAATTTGACCGGTCCTGTTTTAACTGCTATTACATTAACACAAAAAACATTAATCATCACCAAATGTCATTGAACACCCTTTCAAACTGTACATATTGTATCAGACTACTGGTGTACATGAACAACTGCAGTAAATATACAAAGAATAGACACTGAACATGTATTGCGTGTGCCAGGTGTGATCCATGTGGGGGGATGGGCACATAAGAGCGGGAAATGTGTCAAATTGTTCTGTGTGTGTGTGTGTGTGTGTGTGTGTGTGTGTGTGTGTTTGTGAGTGCCAGGTGTGATTCACATAAGGGGGGGGGACACATCTAGAGTATGTGTGTGTGTGTGTGTGTGTGTGTGTGTGTGTGTGTGTGTGTGTGTGTGTGTGTGTGTGTGTGTGTGTGTGTGTGTGTGTGTGTGTGTGTGTGTGTGTGTGTGTGTGTGTGTTTTATCTGATCCGGATGGTTACTAATTCCTTTTCTTTATGGCGGTCATTTTTGTCCGGGAACACCATGGGTGTTACAAAGTTGACTAAATCATCCAAAATTCAATGAAAGTGGTGATCAGCAATTCTCTATGTTCAAATGTCTCTGTGAAGGATATCATAAAGCCTTAATGCAATGGAATGGAAAACAAAAAAGTTATGATTGATGAAAGTAGTAAATCGGTCAGATTTGCCCCGAACACAACAGGAGGGTTAATGGTGTGTTCTTAGACATGCAGGTGTAGGTGAAAAACCCATTTGAAAAACAACACGTATATTTCGTTTCAAATATTTGTATTGAGAAGAAGCAAACACGTGTAAGCACTAGACTTCTTAGGGGTGGAAATCATGCTTCCCTTTTTTCAACATAGAAGACAAACAGAACAGCCAACAAGAAATAATAAAGAAAAAACATAGCATGACAGGAATAACATACTTAACAACATAACTAATCATAGTGGTGGTGGCGAAGTCGATTGGGACTTGGCTTGGCAACTGGAAGGTCACCAGTTTGAGTCCCGGCAAGACCAATTGCTACCGAGGTGTCCCTGAGCAAGGCACCGTTCCCTACACTACTCCCCGGGCGCCGGACACGGCAGCACACTGCTCCTAACACTAGGATGGGTCAAATGCAGAGAAACAATTTCGTTACATAGTACCTGTACTATGAAATGACAATAAGAGCAATTTATTAATTTATTATTAGTGGGAAAGAACATGCAAAATAGTATATACAGTATATACTACAAATAAATAAATAAACTTAAAGGGTGCAGATGAGCCCAGACTATCCCCCCACCCTTCCCTCCCCGAGCAGTGCCACCCAAGCCATTCAAAAGCGATTGTCTGTGCAATGCATTTCAGCCGACCGTCCCCCTTATAAATGAAACCATTGGACCCCGAATCCTTTCGAATTCCCCCAGTCTATCTTTTAGGATATATCAAATTCTTTCTCAATGCAGAGTATCAGTCAATGCCGCAATCCAAGCTTTAAAACGGGGCACATTCTTTGATTTGCATAACAGGGGAATACGTTTCTTTGCACACAGGAGACCATAGGACAGGAGATGAAGTTGTGCATTTCGAATGTGTTACATTGTTCAGATGTGCCCAGTATCACCAACAAACAACACGTATATTGGTAGACAATTATTCTCTAACCTAAAACAACTATCTTTAGTATGTCTTAATGGTCAGTAATAAACTCAACAGCACATGAGGTCAAAGAAAACACAACTTATAAAAGCTCTCTGTTCGGTATGGGAGGACATTTTGATTGAAGTTTCAATTTCTTCTTTTTTATTTGCTCTACATTTCACTGAGGAAAGCCTTCAGGTGTTTTCACTTCACTTCACTCTGTTGTTTTAAGTGGTCACTGTTGGGCTGACCTTTACCTCCTGCTCCCTCTTTTTGAATTGCATTGATTTGCTTTTCAAAATAAATGTAAAAGCTTTTTTTCAGCCCGAATCACTTCAGTTTTTTTTTTTATCAGGGTGATGTGAAGGGTCTTTTCAGGAGAAGTGGTTCTGTGTAGAACAAGTCAACGATTCGATTGACAGAAAACATTTTTTATTTTTTTTTCATAATTGACTAATAAGGATAGTTAGCATAGCTGACAGTTCGCTACTTGTTCGCTTCAGATTTTCATGCTGAAGTTAAACCTGCATCATTTGATTTGAATCACTAATGAACGAATGCAGGATGCGTGAGATACAGAACATACAGTGGATGTAGCCTATTTACAAATGTTAAAGTGGACCTATCATGCTATATTTGAATAATACAGTATAGTGTAGGACCAAACCTATAAGGCATATTTATACTTTGTTTTTTTTCAAAATACCAAACAGATCATGCATTTTAGCCATGCCTCATTTCGCTCAATTTGAAAAATGTTAGCTCTGTTTTTGCAAGGGCTGATTATGTGACCACTTACAGGCCTGGCATATGTACTACAGCGTCTCCAGCGCTTTCGAACGGCAATGGCCGTGGCTGTCTTCTCCTGATTGGTGGAGTTGGCCCAATAGCCGTAGCGCCACTGTCCTGACGTCAGGACAGTGTTCAAATCTGGATCAGTTTTTATCAGATCCGTTGCAGCCCCTTTTTTAGAGATTTGGGTATGGAGGAAAATAGAGAGGGTTGTGTTTTCTGACACTTGGTGAGTTCCCTGGAACACCGGGGACACATATTCATGTAGAAAAGACGTACAACAGTGCATTTTGCATGATAGGTCCCCTTTAAGTTAAATACATTCACAAAATGCACAATAAATATACATTTCTATCACCTTCAGTGTCCCAACCTTCCATGTATTGTCCCTTAAATTAACAAATGTTCAAAGCACATGCTAATAAAGGTGCTAACTCATAGCAGAAATAATGTTTGGCTGATTTCTCTTACTAATACTTTTGTCTGTGTTTTATTTCCCAGGGGCTCAAGCCGATGGACCATAACGGGCTTTCAGACCCTTATGTCAAGTTGCATCTACTGCCCGGAGCCAGCAAGGTGAGCACTATGTTGATTTATATTATTACAAGTGAATACTCAATGTTGATTGGTCAATTTCGAAAATGTTGAGGTCTACTTTTTGTTGCTTCAAATAAAGTTCAAAACGATATGACAAAAACCTGATGGTGATTTCAGTGACTGTGTTTATTCTATGAAATGCAGTCTCTTTTCAGTACATAACGCACAAACATTAGGGTTATATCAATCATCTCAACTCAGTTCTTATGATATCCAGAAAACACATTTCAAGAAATGTTTCGTAAAGTCATGAATTCACAAGAACACAAAGAATCAAGAAGTGACAGAAACAGGAAGTTATGTAGGTTGTAAAGTCGATGCAGAACTTTTAAATGTTGCTTAGTTTCTTAACAGTTTATAATTGAAATGACAGGGGACGGGTTTAAATGGATTAAGTTATTCGACATCATTTAAAGTGGACCTATCATGCTATATTTGAATAATATATTGTAGGGCCATACCTATATAAGGTATATTTATACATTTTCTTTTTCAAAATACCAACAGATAAATAACAGATCATGCATTTTAGCCTTGCCTCATTTCGCTCTATTTTGCTCTCCTCCACCCTGTCTTTGCATGCGCTGCAGCTGACCACGCCCCCCTGCAAAGGAGGGGGCCGAGTTACGAGCGTTGTGTTACCATGCTGTTACCATGCTGTTACCATGCCATGGCAACCTCTCATTCCCCTGATAGGTCAGCTCCTCCGTCCTGACGTCAGAGAAATGTTCAAATCTGTATCAGTCTGTATCAGATCCGTTGCAGCCCCGTTTTTAGAGATTTGGGTATGGAGGAAAATAGAGGGGGTTGTGTTTCCTGACACTTGGTGAGTTCCCTGGAACACCGGGGACACATATTCATGTATAAAAGACGTACAAAAGTGCATTTTGCATGATAGGTCCCCTTTAAATAAGGTGTGTTGTTCAGTTCCCTGCAGTGAGTGTTTTAAGGCGGAAATATTGTATATTTTGCACTGAGCCCTTCTTGAGGTTTCCCTCGGGGCAGTAAACATGAGGCGAGGGTTAATCATCTATTTCATGATTCTGGGAGCACAGCAGTGAGGATATGTCAGGGCAAGGCTTCATCAATGTAAACAACATTAACTCACTGACCTAATGTTCCCACTTACTAACAGTGAGCTCCTCTGTGAAGGATCCTTATCACCAGCTGCTTTGGCCAGCTCACTGTCACAAGTGGACGCATTTAAAGAGACGTCCGTATAGCTGACTGCTTTTACACAGATATGGTCACAGAACGCACGCACATGAAAAATAAGTCTCTCTTCGAATATTCTAAGTCTACTTGCAGTTTGTTTTGAGCTCTTTAATTCACAGAAATTAGAAAGAAGGCAAGAAATGTCTCCAATCTCCTCCAATTCCTGACCTTTTTTGGCTATGTGAAGGGTACAATTGTTATGTAATTTGACTTGTTGTTAGCTGCTCTGTAATCCCAGTATTCAGTTACTTTATTCATGTTAAAGAACTGATTAAAATACAGGTATTACAACAGGTTTAATCGGGAAAAAGTAAAAGTTCCCAAGACAGAAAAATCTGGGCTTAAACAGGCTTAGTGGAATACTTGATTCTGATTGGTCAATTTGGAAATTTTGGAGGTTGTTAATTATTGATAACAGGTTGTTGCTAATGCTAAGGAGAACAGACCGTTGCTAAGGAGAACAGACCGTTGCTAAGGAGAACAGACTGTTGCTAAGGAGAACAGACTGTTGCTGAGGAGGATAAAAGGGACTATGTGCATTCATATCAGCTGTGTTTTCATCACAAAATGCACGTACATGACGGATAGAAGTGTTTATTTAATGTCAAAGTACAACATGACGCACTTGTTGAATTATTTCATTCGAGTCTGACAGAAGGCCTTGAGGTTGATTCAATCCTTTTCATTAAACTCCTCGAATCTAATATAGATCCTGTGAATGAGCACACTTCACAAAGGCATCTTATTGAAAGCAAAAGCTGTGTGATTATCCATCTACCTGACTCACGTCTCCTTTTCTTCTAACACCTTTTCTAATTTTTTCCTCTTTGTCTGAACTTCGTAATTGTTTAGTTTCTCTTGCTTCGGCTTTGACTTTAGACCAAATTAATGCTGTGTGGGTTGTTACGCCTGACAGATATCTGAAAGACAGATAAATAACCTTGTAGCTGCGTGCTTGACTTATTTCTGACGGAGTATAATTAACTGTGAGTCATTCTTTTTAACCAGATATTGATATTCTGATCAACTAACGTGTGTCCAGTACGCATTAAAAAGAATAGTACAAATAAAGGTATTAAGTTGGCTTCAATAACAAAGACACACTGTCCATTTTGAGCTATAATCAAGGCCTTAATGACAATGACAGCTTTGCACCGAAGATAACAGCCAAAAAGCTCAATATCTAACAAACACATAAGAAAAATTATGACTTTACACATAAATGGATAAAAACTGAAATTAAGGGAAAAGTAAAGACTTAATAAACCTAAAAAGATAATTTTTCACTGCAAAAAATCTGAGATTACAAAAGCGCTGGGACAACAGAATGATGGGCAAATACAAGCCCAAAGCCAGATCACTATAGAAATGGTGTAACAGCCCAGAAAATCTTTAAGAGACAAAAAATACCAGCAGCAATCATTTTTGAAATGTTGTGAGTAATACTTATCGATGATGCTGTGGAGGGAAAAATGATTTCTGTCCCTGGAGCGTTCAAAAGATTTCATGTTACGGATGAGAAACTCTGCTGAGCTGCTGCTATTATTTCCAAACCTTTTAATTTCATACTCAGAGTTATAGATCTAGAAATACTGCATAAAACTGACTTTGTACCATTATGTTGGGGACAATGTGCAGTGTTTACTTCCTGTCTGTCTTCTTCTGCTGTTCCCTTTAGTGTTTACTTCCTGTCTGTCTTCTTCTGCTGTTCCCTTTAGTGTTTACTTCCTGTCTGTCTTCTTCTGCTGTTCCCTTTAGTGTTTACTTCCTGTCTGTCTTCTTCTGCTGTTCCCTTTAGTGTTTACTTCCTGTCTGTCTTCTTCTGCTGCTGTTCCCTTTAGTGTTTACTTCCTGTCTGTCTTCTTCTGCTGCTGTTCCCTTTAGTGTTTACTTCCTGTCTGTCTTCTTCTGCTGCTGTTCCCGTTAGTGTTTACTTCCTGTCTTTCTTCTTCTGCTGTTCCCGTTAGTGTTTACTTCCTGTCTGTCTTCTTCTGCTGCTGTTCCCGTTAGTGTTTACTTCCTGTCTGTCTTCTTCTGCTGCTGTTCCCTTTAGTGTTTACTTCCTGTCTGTCTTCTTCTGCTGTTCCCGTTAGTGTTTACTTCTGGTCTGTCATTTCCATGGATGTATAATAAGAACTGGATACAGCGTGGGAGGCGGGGTCTCGTTCTTTCCTATGGGAGCTGCTCATTGGCGCATGAGGACAAAATGGCCCAACTTTTGAGAGAGCGAAACGTCACAGATTACCCATCATGCCTGGCTGTCGGAGCAGAAGAACCCGTATGTGTGCTCACAGAGCATGCGCCCCTTAAGCCCCGCCCCCCGAGCTCCCACTCTCAGCTCACTAGAATGAATGGAGAGAGAAAATAAATCTAGATTCGGCTTTTAGTGCATTTTACAACTTTAAGAACCTAATGATTCTAATAAGGGATATCAAATAGTTCATACTGGGTAGTTTATTTAGATTAAAAAAAAATATCCGCTGATTTACAGACGTCTCTTTCCCAATGTTAGTCAATGGGGAAAAGTATTTCTGGGCCGGGTGACATCACGGACTGATACGGGAGTTGTAGTACCGCCGTTTGGACACAACACATCTTTTCCTCAGAGTCCGGAGCACTTCCTGGGGGCTTGGTCTTTTCTGCTTCTCCGTTAGTGTTTACTTCCTCTCTTTCTTCTTCTGCGGTTCCCTTTATTGTTTAATTCCTATCCGTCTTCTTCTGATGTTCCCTTTATTGTTTACTTCCTATCCGTCTTCTTCTGATGTTCCCTTTAGTATTTACTTCTTGTCTGTCTTCTTCTGTTGATTTCTCTAATTCATCATGAATCCTCTGCTTGACCCTCCTTAGCAACGGTCTGTTCTCCCTAGCAACGGTCTGTTAGTGCAAAAGAATAACATCTGGAATGTCCAAATCGACCAATCACAATCGAGTATTCAACCAAGCCGTGTAACAAAAGAGCAACAGATACATTATGACGTTCTCTGAGTCTGGTTCTCCTGGATCTTAAACTCAAAATAAACTCTTGCATCTGTTAAGCCAGTGTAGACAGATGGATTAAGTCATAATGTCAGCCATGCATATGCCACCTTTCTATTGTTAGCAAGGCCACTCTGTAAACCCAGCCAGACAATGTGTTGTGACTTTTATTATGCAGAGTACAAGATGTATAACAATTTCAATGCCTTTATATCCAGATGAATGATTTCCAATGTCTCCAGCAGACATGGATGGTGCTTTGAAGCGACACAAATTGTTTACTTGCAATTTAAAAATGAAGTAATTAGTGGGAATGCAAAGATAGAGTTGTTTAATTAGCTAGTCTCTAAGTGAGAAAGCCCAGGGCCCGACAACAGCAATGAAACAGAAGCGTAATCATTGTCACACAACACATGGAAACAAACTGTTAAAAGAAACCACCAGTCTGCCTGCTGTTAGTCTGGACTGTACGGCAGCGTTTAATCACTGGAGTTAGTGGAGAAATACGCCCACCAAAGATATAATCTGTGATAATATCCGCACGACAGATTTGATCCAAACATTTCTCAACACCAGGAGACCAGATTGCAGTGTGTTTTCATGGCACCCTGAGGATAAGGCAAATTATTTCTTGCAGCAAAGTGTTGTTTTTACCAAAAAGCTACAAATTACACAGCAAAAGACCTACATTATGACTTTAGAAAAATGTTTTTGTGCCCTGCAATTTGTAGAGAAAAGCATGAGGAAAGAGAGTGTTGCACGGGAGAATTAGCAGAAAATAATATTTA